AGTTACCACGGTCCCTCCTCAGCTTTGGTGCGGAGCCTGTGCCACTCTCGTCGGATGGGAGAGGCCACTGTGTGGAGCACCCAGAGGGACAAAGTCACCAGGTGGGGGTCATCACCTCATGCCCTTCGGCCACTCATCATTACCCCTCCACCCAGGCTGGGTTGGAGGGGGCTCCACCACAGTCAACAACCCCTCGTTCCCCATCAGCAGAAACAGCCACTGCAGTCAAAGAGCTTGGGCAGAGGAGCAGCCACCTACTGGACCAGGCCCAGAGGACACAACTGGACTGCTTGTTAGAGGAGTTTGTGGACATTTTTGCTGCCTGTGATGAGGACTGCACCCGAACGAGCCTGGTCCAGCATCACATAGACACTGGCCAAGCATCCCCCATCCGCTTGCGGCCACATCGTCTGCCATTGGCCCAGCCACCAGGGGCTGAACACCGTGGACCATACAGTCCTCATATCCTGCCTTGAACATTGCGTCGGCTTGCATGGTGCTGTACTTAAATGGTTTATTTCTTTTTTGACCAATAGGACCTTTTCAGTTATGATCAATGACTCTACCTCTGCAATAGCCCCTCTCTCTTCGGGTGTTCCCCAAGGTTCAATCCTGGTGCCTATTCTTTTCTCATTATATATGTTACCTTTAGGCTCAATTATTTCTAAGAACAACATTCATTTCCATTTTTATGCTGATGATGTGCAGATTTACTTGCCGTTGATGCAGAGTGATGCTAATGCACTAGCCCCCTTGCACAGGTGTTTGGGTGATATTAAAGCGTGGCTCACACAGAACTTCATTCACTTAAATGAGGGGAAGACTGAATATATCGCTTTTAGCCCAGACCCCACTCACACTGTATCCAGCCTAGGAGCTTCAGCCCCGTTATTCACTCAAACTGTGAAAAACCTGAGAGTGTTATTCGATAGCAGCCTCAAATTTCACAGGCAGATTAGTTTGGTGGTCAAAATAAGCTTCTTTCAGCTGAGGCTCCTAGCAAAGGTGAAACCTTATTTATCTCAAGCCGACCTAGAAAAAGCCATTCATGCCTTCATTAGCTCACGACTTGACTATTGCAATGCCCTCTATACTGGAATTAGTCAGACCCAACTCCATAGGCTCCAACTTGTACAGAACGTGGCTGCTCACCTACTGTCAAACACTCCAAAGAATGCTCACATCACACCGGTTCTTCTACAGTTTAGAATGGATTCTAAAATTTTACTGTTTGTGTTCAAGGCCATTAATGGTCTTGCGCCAGTCTATTTGACTGATCTTTTAACCATTTATACCCCAGTCAGAGCGGTGTGTTCCTCTGAGTATGTGTCTCTGGTTGTCCCGCGGGCAAGGTCTAAAAAGTGGGGAGATCATTCTTTCGCCATGTATGCCCCCAAGCTCTGGAATGCCTTGCCCCCTGAGGTTTGATCTATAACGGAGTTAATGGTTTTTAAGTCTAAATTAAAGGCACATTTATTCAGACTGGCTTTTGGCATGTAATATTTAGCAGCGATGGTATACAGGGCCTACAGGCCTTCCTGATTTTATATTTCGTAATCTTACTCTCTGTATTTTGACTCATTTTTATTCTACAGGGGTGTTAGAGTTCTTACAGATCATTGTTTTAAATTTGTGCAATGTTAACTTTTCTTTTGTTTGTTTATGTATTTTGGCATGCTCTGTTTTATCTCTGTTTGTTTTATTGTGAAGCAATTTGAGCTCCCTTTGGTGTTGTAAAGCACTATATAATCAAATAAAATATTATTATTATTGTAGTACCCTTCTCACTCTACCTAGGAGGGGCACCAACTAGACGAGTTAGAATGAGGGGTGCTTGGGTTCGTTTAATCAAAATTAAAATTAATAACCCCTATAACTAGTAATGAGGACTTGTAGTATGGTGCTTGAGGAAGGAAGATAGACCCAGCGATGGCTTAAATAAGAACACACGGCTTAGGCCGGATTTATTAAACCAAGATAACTAAAATGACCTCTTATGAGTACAAAACCAATGAGTAAAAGAAAGAATGATGAAGGCAGTAACAAAAAGAACCAAGATTACCAGATCGGTTTCAACCATCTAAATGAAGCGTCTGCGCTCTCTGACTTAATTAGTCACTAGCAGGCCAGGACAGATTCCAACTCTTAGTCCCCCGCTCTCTACGCCCAGAAGTCCTGCACTGGGTCCATGGGGCAGCAGGAGCTGGTCACTATGGGAACTTCAAGATGGTGAGGCGACTTAGGAGGAGGTTCTATTGGCCTGGCTGCCGGCAGGATGCAGAGCTCCATGTGCAATGCTGCGACAGTTGCACTGCACACAAAGGACCCAGCCAACATTCCCGGGGGCCCCTGCAGCAGTACTTGGTCAGGGCACCTATGGAGAGGGTCGGGGTGGACATCCTGGGGCCCTTCCCCATCACAGAGACTGGAAACCGCTATGTCCTTGTAGCAATGGACTACTTTACCAAATGGCCAAAGGCATATGCGGTGTCCGACCAGAGTGCCACCACGGCAGCCAAGTATCTGGTAGAGGAGATGTTTGCCCGGTTTGGGGTCCCCAGTGAGCTCCACAGTGACCAGGGGCGGAACTTTGAGAGCGGGCTGTTTCAGGAGGTGTGTCAAAGGCTAGGAGTAAGAAAGACCAAAACCACTCCACTCCACAATGGACTGGTGGAACGGTT